CTGGGAGCCCGGCAGCCTCGGCGCCAGGAAGGAGCCCGGACCGCCCCTCCGCGCCCCTGGGGCTGGTCCTGGCAACGCCAGGCAGGGCTAGGCAGCATTGCCCGAAGATATGAGGGGGGAAAAACCCCTCACCCCTATGGTGTTCTATGGGAATTGCTGATATGTGCAGCCGTGGTCGGATTTTTTCTTTTTGCTGTGTTCGTGGGTGAGTTTTTGTTGGATTAGAAGCCGGCTTTATGTGGAAGGAGGAAAAGCGTGCCGTGGAACTTTCTACACGAATGGAAGAAAACTGTGAACCACTTGAAAAATGCAGCCTCGGAGAAAAAGAGTGTGAAGGCTTCGAGTCATTACAGGATTCCAGCTTCGAGGAGGAGCCGACAGAAACTCGAAGTTTGGAGGCAATCTGTGGAAAGCTGAACAGTTCCAAATCCGAATTTGGGGATAAAATACTCTTCCTAACAAAAGAGTTAAAGGAAGAGAAATCCGAACAAGATGGGTTGATGGTGGATATTTCCAAAAGGATACAGTCCTTAGAAGATGAATCAAAATTACTCAAATCACAAGTAGCTGAAGCCAAAACCACCTTCAAAATATTTCAAATGAATGAAGAGCTACTTAAAATATCCATAAAAGATACTTTGAGTGAAAGTTTCCAACTTCAGGAAAGCCAGAAACAGCTTCTACAAGAAGCTGAAGAATGGGAAGAACAAGTAAGTGAACTTAATGAACAGAAAATAACATTTGAAGATTCCAAAGTATATGCAAAACAAGTTTTATGTGACAAAGAAAATCAGATCAAATCTCTGACTGAATACTTGCTAAAGATGCGAGACTGGACTGCAGTGCTTGGAGAAGACGTCAGGGATGATAACTTGGAATTGGAAATGAGCGATTCAGAAAATAGCGTGCTCTCAGGTAATCAACCAAAAGGAGATTTGAAGAAGCTGATTCATACTGCTAAGTTAAAGGCTTATTTGAAAACCCTAGAAGGAGAAAGAAACCAAATAAACACCCAATTAACTGAAGTAGATAAAACAAAGGGAGAGCTTATAGAGTGTATTAAAAATCTCCAGGCTGAACACACATCTTTGCAGTCAGAAAATGAACATCTTGAAAATGAGAATCAAAAGCTTCAGCACAAACTTAAAGTAATGACTGAAATGTATCAAGAAAATGAAAAGATACTTAACAGAAAGTTAACAGTAGAAGAAAATTACCGGCTAGAGAAAGAGAAAAAACGTTCTAAAGGAGATGAAAAGGTCACCCATGCAACCGAAGATCTAGAGACCTATAGAAAGCGAGCCAAAGATCTTGAAGAAGAATTAGAGAGAACCATTCATTCTTATCAAGGGCAGATTATTTCCTATGAAAAAAAAGCCCATGATAATTGGTTGGCAGCTTGGACTGCTGAAAGAAATCTCAGTAATTTAAAGAAAGAAAATTTTTACCTCAAACAGAAATTAACTGAAACAGAGCTTAAATTTGAACTTTTAGAAAAAGATCTGTATGCACTTGATGCTCCAAATACAGCATTTTGCAGAGAGCATTCCCCATATGGTCTGTCACCATTGGGTCAACCTTCATCTGAAACAAGAGCTTTTCTCTCTCTTCCAACTTTGTTGGAGGGCCCACTCAGACTCTCACCTTTGCTTCCAGGGGGCAGGAGGAGAGACTTAAGAGGCCCAGGGAATCCTCAGGACCATCAGATTACTAATGAAAGAGGAGAATCAAGCTCTGATAAGTTAACTCATCCTCACAGGGAACCTTCTGACACTGGGTCCCTCTCACCTCCATGGGAACAGGATCATAGGATGATAATTCCTCCATCAGGCCAACCTTATCCTGATCCAGCTCTTCCTCTACATAGGCAAGACAGATTTTATGCTAATATTGGTAGGCCATCTGGACCAGCAGAACACAGAAGTTTTAATATGCCAGATGGGTCAATGTCTTCCAAAATGGAATCCAGTGGAAATGATAGCAAAGATCATCTTGGTAATTTAAATATGCCTGATGCATCTCTCCCCACCAAAAGTAAAGTAACTGGCCCTGGCGTTGATCCTCCAATCAGAGGTTCATTGTTTCCAATGGATGCAAGGGGCCCCTACATGAGACGAGGTCCTCCTTTTCCTCTACTTCCAGGAAGCATGTATGGAGCCTCCTGTGATTATTTTCCTCCAAGGGACTTTTCTGGTCCACCACCTCCTCCGTTGGCAATGAGGAATGTCTATTCACCAAGAGCTTTTCCTCATTATCTTCTCCCAAGAGCTGGATTTTACCACCACATCCTGAAAGAAGAAGTAAGTACCCATCAGTGTCGATTCTGCCTTCAAGTGAGCCTACTACTGAATGAACAACCAGAAACACAAGAGCCTCGACAATAGTTTTGGTCTCCAAAAGTAATTTTGACTTCTTCCATTTTCAGTTTAAGTACAGCTGTTACTTAAGTGATTATACTTATGCTCAAATTGGAGCTTAATGGATACATTCTCAGGATAGTATTTTATAAATAAAGATTGTTTAAATATGAATCTAATCAATTATTTCCATTTTATTCTACACAATGTAATTATTTTAATTTGATTAACAAATCCACTATCACATAAACAATAGTGGGAGTTTCCTATATGTGATCTTGTAGTTGGGGATGTTTTAAATTCCAAAGGCTATGTCTTTATGCCAAGAATTGTATTTCCTATTGTTATAAACAAATGTGAAAATAACTTTATGCTTAATTAAGTAAATTTTAATTGATTTAAATATTTGCTTGGCATAGACTATAATAATAGAATCAGCTAGTTTTTTTTCATTAAAGAAAAAAAGAGTGGAGTAGTCCTCACACAAAATCCTTTGACCTGAATGCCCTAAAAGTGGGCTTTAATGCAAGACTGGTAAATCTGAAAGTGTAGATCTTTTCCAACTAGGAACCTAAGAACGAGGGACATTTTTTCAGATGTGAAAATCCAAGGGCTACTATTTTGCTGCAGTGTCCACTTGTTTACTTAAAAAAACACACACAGAACAAATATTTTTTTGAGACATGTTCAAAACTGTGTGTAAGGGCAGAAGGATTTGTTGGAGTGATACAAAGGACCATGGTCCCCACCTTCACGGAGCTGACTCTTGTACATCACAGCTAACCAGTGCTACCAGCAGAACTTCATAAGGACCAAGGGCAGCAAGGTCAAAAGTGCTACATAATTACTCTCCCTTTCCCTTGTAGACCGAAACAGAAACTTCAGGGGAGAGGAGTCTTAGCTCACCCCACTCCTCAGTGCCAGATACACCAAGTGAATCTCAAGTTACAGGCTTCTCGCCAGTTTTGGAAAAAGGACCGGACTACCATTGTTGGGAAGTTCTGCACTGCTCCTTTGCCTGTCAATGACAAGTAAGCCGAGTGTGCACCTACCCCAGACACACCCATAAGGACCAATCCTGACCTTAGATATGATGCTTGTTGAGGTTCGATCTCATCATAAGTGATTTGCTTCTTTGATGCATAGATGACAACAACCCAAGGCTTTCCTGACACACTTGCAGGGCTATCTTGGGTTGGGAATGTTAGGAAGCCAAAGAGGGTGAACTCTAAATCCTCATTCCCACTTCAAAATAAGAAACCCCATTTTACCTGATCTATCTATCTATCTATCTATCTATCTATCTATCTATCTATCTATCTCTATCTTATTTGATTTCTATATAAGATTTTATTAGAATAAAGATTTCTAATTGCATTTTTCCTCCTCCTTAGTGTCCACTGGTCACATTCATGGGTGTGGATTGAGACTCCCCGTTCCCTTTACCCTGCCTCTAGCCTTTATAGTATTAGTCCTACCATCCCAGTCCTTCGGAGGACAGTAGGCTCCTATAGTGGACAATTGTAGACTTCTTTCACCTGACATCATTAAAACACAGAGCTCTTAGTCCTCTCTCCTGACCAAAAGGAACCTGTCCTGAACATATACCTTCTTGTTGCCCTTCTCTTGCAGTAAAATGACGGTCTGCTTACCTGAGCCAGTGAACTTACAAGCAAGTGTGACTGTTTCTCGTGACCTTAAAATTATGTGTGTATAGTAAAAGCCCGGGCAGGACATATCCCTGGATTGTAGGGACGGGGGCAGGGAAGGAGGGGTTTCAACTTATTCTAAGCCACTACTACTAAGAATGAAGGCAAGACTCTTGGTTATTTCCCCCATAATTTACTACCTTAGAAGGGAAAGATGGCTCAGTTTATAGAGCTATCTTTATTTGCATGCCAATTTGAAGAGCCTTATATAGATATCATTTCAGCTTTCTTACTCATACTTAAGAGCAATTACCCCATGTCCTTGTGCTCTGTACAATAGAAACATATACAGGAAAAATGCTTTTATAAAAAATAAAACTCCATGGAATATCTGAATTATTTATTGTTTTATTGAAATGGAATTCTGTTACCAAAAATAATGTGATTTATAGTCTGTGGGATTGGAAAAACAGTAGATATTGAGTTCTCTGCGTTAAAATAGCAATTGGAAAGAGGAGCTTGGAACAAGAGAGGGGATGAAGGGTGGGGCTGAAGATGCTGCCTTTCACTCTCCTTACCATCGCCTTTTCTGGATATCTGGAAAGTTTGGGGGGATCAGAGAGATCTTTGGGGAAATACAGGTAGATTTTCTTTGTGTCAGTGTTTCTTAAACTTTGATCTTTATAAATAGTCTTGTATCAGCCACAGTCTAGCAAGAAGCAGATGGTGCATTCAAATTGGGTAATTTAATAAAAGGACTATTTACAAAGGTGTTAGTGGGAAGTGGGGAAACCACGCAGGATAGTGCAGCTGCGGGGCTAGTGGCAGTGGGAACCGCTACTCTCTCTAGGTATAAGGAGGCAAGTGGAAGGAGCACCAGAACCTGGAGCCAGCATGGGCTTGGGGACCTTCAGTCAAGGGACACAGTCATCAGGCAGCAATATTGCAGGGAGGGAGCCAGGGAAACAGAGTCTCCAACCTCACTCTTCTTTCCTCCCTCATTCCTCTGCTAGGGCTCCCCATTGAGTGACTGCAGCTAGAAGCTAGAAGGCAAGAGGCACAGTGATGCGGCTCAGGAGGAAAAGCAGGGCAGAGAAGAGTAGAGAATGGATGGGTGGGAGTGGGGAACAGAGAGGTATGGCTCACACCTTCACCACTTTCTCCATAGCCAGGTATGACCTGGATTCTTCTAAGCTTAATGGTTTCCTTTAAATTAATTATTTAAAAAACCATTTTAATCACTTTTAAGTGAACAACAATTCAGTGGTTTTAAGCATATTCTCATTGTTGTGTAACCCTCACCATGATCCATCTCCAGAACTTTTCATCATTCCAAACTGAAACTCTACCCATTAAATAACTCTCCACTTGCCTCCACCCAGCACATAATAACCAGTATCCTACTTTCTGTCTCTACTAGAGGCCCAATGCACAAAATTTGTGCAAATGGCTCAGCCCTTGCAGCTACTATGGCTTGCCTCGGCCCTCACAACCCTGACTTCCGGAAAGTCATTGGGCTGTCTGGTCTAATTAGCATATTACACTTTTATTATTGTAGATGCATTCTACTATTCTATGTACTTCATACAATATCTGTCCCTTTATGATTGGCTTATTTCATTTAGCATAATGTTTTCAATGTTTATCCTTGTTGTAGCATGTGTCAGAATTTCCTTCCTTTTTAACGGTGACTAATATGCTATGTATGCATATACCACATTTAGTTTATTGATTCATCCATCATTGGGCATATGAGTTGCTTCTACCTTTTAGCTATTGTAAATAATGTTGCTATTTATATCAGTGTGCAAATATCTGTTCAAGGCTTTTTTATATAAAAACCTACATAAATGTGCTTTGAAAGGAAACTGCTGATTTACTCTCCAAAGTAAAAGCAGAGCAATTGATATAAGCAACAGGCTATCATTGCTCCATTTGGGTCAAGTCACCTACGTCACCAGGAGAGAGCTTTGTCCAGGCTGTAGAAATGCAGCCAAAGGGACGGGTGATGCCATGTACTGTTAATCTAAAAATAAAAGCCAAAGTAAGAGGCAATAAGCATTTATTTGAGATCCAGAAGAATAGCTATCCAGGAAGCACTGAGTCAGGCAGAAACCCAAATAGTGTTCCAATTAGGAGATGAAGGGAAGGAGTTTTATGAAAAAGGGAAGGGGAAAAATTACATGAACAGGAGGAAGGAATTTCCATAAATGCAGATGAGCTAACACAGTGATGCTAATTCTAAAAAATGTCCCGTAGTCATAATGTCTGCTTTCTTGTCACATTTCCAGACAGTTGTTTGGGATATAATGTTGCTTCAGGCCCAGTCCAAAGGTTATCGTGTCCACTTTAACATTCCAAAGGTTTGAGGAATAAGATGTGCAAAGCAGTTCCTTGGATGGTAACTCCAACTCCATTTTAAAGTGGTCCCATTGCTATTGGTTTTCACCACACTCACATACATGCTTTATTTTCTGCACAGTCCAACACAGTCAGTTTGAAAAATCTAGATGTTCCCCAATATGCAGGCTTGGAGTTCCTTTTTCAGACCCAAAACCATCTCGTTTCTTACTCTCTCCCTTTACTCACCCAGGTTCCTGGCAAGAACCTCCCAAGAGATCTCTTACCCTGAGCTATATTAGGCATCATTTCCTATTTACTAAGCTTCCTGTTATTGTAACACTGTTGCTTCTTATGAGACAATGCTCAGTTTTCCCTGCTGCTTGTTGCTTCAAAGTATGTGTAAATGATGTTATGCTTCTGCGATCAAGATTGTGTCCTGTGGTGCCGATGCTAATTGCTGATACACTGAGCAGACTTGCAGTTTCTCCTTTTTGTGGTTGGGCACAGCCCTGTGTTTCTTGGCTAATACAATCTTACTTTGAAGTGCTTTTATTTTTTAAAAAATCTTTTTAAATCCTCACCCGAGGATATTTTTCCATTGATTTTGAGAGAGAGTGAAAGGAGGAAGGAAAGAGAGAGGGAGAATGAGGGAGAAAAAGAGAAACATTGATGTGAGAGACATACATTAATTGCTTGCCTCCTGTACACACCCTGATCCAGGCTGAGAATCGAGCCTGCAACCAAGTTATGTGCCCCTGACTGGGAATCGAACCGAAGACTCTTTTGTTTGAGTTCCCACGCTCTAACCACTGGACCACCGGCCAAGGCTTTAAAGCACTTTTAGATTATCTCACAAGTTATTTAGCTCCCCATCAGAAATTTGAGATTATCACTATAAATGATAAACCAGTTTCTCTTATCATAAATTAATCCTAAAAACAACTACAATGAGAACATAATAATAATGTTTAAACTTCTAATTAGATATTGTGGCTTGCTGAAGGCTCCATGCCCTAGGCCTGTTCTGCCCTTATAAAAAGGGGAGATTAGCAAGGATGAGAGAGGTGTCAAAAAATTTGTTAATGCCCAGGACTCTCTTCTATATGTAATCCGTGGGTTGAAAATTAAAATATGAAAAGTAATTGTACCATGAGATTTAATGTTATCTAATGCTGGGTCTATGTGCTACCTTCAACCATCTTGCCTAGTGTCGAGTATACGGCCCTCACTTTCAGAAACGTGGCTAAGTAGGTGGGATGTTTGTGGGGTAAGGAAGAAGGGAAAGCTAACAAAGACCCCAGTCACTGCTTGATAACATTTATTGTATTTTTAGGAGGCCTTTTTAAAGCTTGTAACTCAGGGTTTGGATACTAGGGTTCATTTAAAGCAGCTCATTGATTTCTTCTCAATCTTGGTCTTCATATTAATTTCCCCATCAAATTCACACCAGCTTACTCTCTCTATATATATATTTAACATTATAAAAGCAATGCGTGCTCATTTTAACAAATCAAACTATAGACATATAGTCACCACAGCCCTGCGGTAATCAATGTTAATAGCTTGGTTTATGCCCTTCTACACATTTCTCCATTTTAATACAAATATATACATACAAAGTTGTTTTTTGGTGTTGTTTTTTTTTTTAAATGAAATCATAGCACACGTATTACTCCACACTTTTCCTTTGTTACATAACAATATATCATGAACATCTCTCCTGGTACTATAATACATAAGTCTAGTGTATTCACTGGGTATTTAATATTCCATAGTACAGATATGCTATAATTTGGCCAACCATTTTTTTTGTGGTGCATATTAAGGTTGCTTTCATTTTTTTTAACTACAAATGATGCTGCAATAAATATGTTTGTATATCTATTCTCATGTCAGTGCCTTCATTTCTTTCTTTTTTTTTTTTCAGTGCCTTCATTTCTATGTGGTAGGTATCTTTGGTGAGAATTACTAGGTCAACAAATATATTAAAAGGATAGTAATGCACCCTGGCTGGGTAGCTCAGTTGGTTAGAGTATCCTTCTGATCCGCCAAGGTTGTGGGTTCAATCCCTGGTCAGGTCACATACAAGAATCAACAAATGCATAAATAGCCCAGTTGGCATGGCTCAATGGTTAAGTATTTACCTCTGAACCAGGAGGTCACAGTTCGATTCCCGGTCAGGACACATGCCTGGGTTGCAGGCTCAATCCCCAGTGTGGGGCGTGCAGGTGGCAACCAATCAATGATTCTCATCATCGATGTTTCTATCTATTTCTTCCTCTCCCTTCCTCTCTGATATAAAACAAACAAAACAAAAAACAACAACAAATGCATAAATAACTGGAACAACAAGTCGATGTTTAGGAAAAAAAAGGTTAGTAATGCTGTAGATTACTTTCCAAAAATGCCATACAGATTCACATACACTCTGACAATGGTTGAAAGAAATTGTTTCATTGCAATTATTTATTCCAGTATTATTCTCTCTAAGACAAATAACACAAATCCCCAAATCTCTCCTCTGGAGTTACCATGTGACGTTCAGTTGATTCCAAGTTGGCTGACCAGTTACCCACTTGTGAAACTGGGATGTCTCTCTTTCCTTCAGAATTATAGGGGTCTAAGATTTTAGTACCTTTTAAAACTGGGCATTCATTCAGACACAGGAGTCTTTAGAGCACTGAAACTCCCTACGGGTGAGCTATGATGAACTTTTAAAAATAAAGTCTTATTGTTTTGAGTTTTTTTTTTTAGAATATATTTTTATTGATTTCAGAGAGGAAGGAAGAGGGAGGGAGAGAAACGTCAATGATGAGAGAGAATCATTGATTGGCTGCCTCTTGCATGCCCCACACTGGGGATTGAGCCTTCAACCTGGGCATGGGCTTTGACCAGGAATTGAACTGTGACCTCCTGGTTCATAGGTTGAAGCTCAACCATTGAGCCCTGCTGGCCATGCTTATTGTTTTTTATGATTGTAAAATTCCACTCATCTAAAAAATTTCAGCCAATCCAGAGAGTTATAAAAGAGAACGTGATAGCTAAAGCTTCCT